TAGTAAATGGTAACATTTTAAATCATCTTTTGATTATAAACTTTAATTACCAAAAAGTTCTATATTAGATGAAAAGAAAATATTTAAATAGTATAAAAACAAATATCAAAAGACCAACGTGGCCGAGTGTTCCAAGGCGTATGACTCGAAATCATTTCTCATTTGAGGCGTAGGTTCAAATCCTGCCGTTGTCGTTATATTATTTTATTTTGGATAATAAAAACCTAAATATATTGGTTGTGTATAAAACAAAATGCATTTGCCGGGACTCGAACCCGGATCTCCACCTTGGAAGGGTAAAATTCTGCCCTTAGACCACAAATGCTTCTTGATATTTTTATTATTTTAAATTAGATACTATGATGTGACTATCATTTAAATGAAAATTATGACACCGTCCTTTCCCACCCTCACCCCGTTTACCAAAATAAAAAATTTGCCGCGAGTGATTTTTGAAGGGAGTCCACTTTTCAGCCACTGTTTGTGCGTCCCCATGTCACCCACTTTCCTTGTCCGTACTGTGTGGACGCGGATGTGGTTCCCCCCGATTGCGGGGGGGGATCCGCGCCAAGGGAGGACTTGAAAAGTGAATGAAACATTGCACAAACAGACTGTTTGAGTGCGGCCTTCAGCCTTCTTTTCAATGTACCGTCTCACTCGGTTTCCACTGACTCGAGTTGTTTTTTTTGGCATTTCTTGAATAAATGCGAGAATTTTTTTGAATGTGAATTGTGCATTTGACATTCTGCAAATGTATGGTGTAGGTAAGTCGACGAGTTCTGAATAGCACTTTATAAAGAGTGTTTCAAATCAGTTAGGTTCAACTAATTGCATAATAGAAAGTAAAAATGGCGAAACTTTTCGTAATTTGATTCCACCATGATGACTCGTCTTTGACAAATCAGTAAGTTGAGTAACAACAAAATTTACGAGGAGAATAAATTTTCGATAATAACAGAAAATGCAAATTAAAAATCTTGTTGGGCTGAAGGAAATAATTTGCGCTTTTTGATCTCCTAAACTTGTAAAAATTGGTCGTCGCTATTTTATAAACGTGTCCGCTCGCATCACCAATTTTCGCAAGAATACATACCAACAATAAAAACTAATTAAAAAATCGAGTACTTTTCTACAAAAAAAAGAATACAAAACAAGTGTTAATTGTGGTGTTGTAAAAATGAATAACATAAAATATAATAGAAAATCGTGTTGGAACATTAATTAAATTAACATTATTAATAATTTATAATTAATAAATTTACAAAAAAAACAAAAAATTCACTAACCTGGAATTGAACCCGGGTTCGTTAGCTTGGAAGAAAAAACTCTTGGCTTCTGAGGCCCCTTAGTGCTTTGAAATTAACTCTTTTTTTACTATATTAATTCTTCCATTTATTAAATTACTATTAAATTACTATTAGATAACTAATACAAGAATCATTAACTTATTTTATAACATTAAAATCAAATATGAAAGATATTTATAATTTACAAAGTATTTATAATAATAATTAACTATATAATATAATAGAATAACATTATGAATAGGGTGTGCAACAGTGAGAGTAAATTTTCATTTTTATGAAATCTTTTTTTGTCATTGTAAAAAATAGTGAAATATGTCAATTTATTATTTTATTCATAATAATGAGCAAAATTTGTAAAATCTGTCTTAATATTGAAACGTGTGAACAGTATTCGATTAAAAGTAAATAAACTTTTTATTTGTCCCAAAAGTTAATTAAAAACAAATAATTATTATAAACAACAATTTTGATATTTTGTATTTATTAAAAGACAAATTAGTACGATTGAAAAAAATAAGATAACAAAAGAAATTTTTGTTATATAACTTAATAGATGAATAATTGACAGCAAATTTTATAATTTGGTATAAACAACACATTGTTGTTTTTTTATTTACAAATAAATTGTAAAATTCAAAAAATACAACACAAGCAACAAAATAATGAAATTAAAATAGGTACTTACAAACATTAAAACGTTGTTTAATAACGCTATATAAACTGTGTTGTCATAAACATGATAGACATAAAAAAGAATGAATTAACAATTGATTTTTAAATAAAATGATACGAGTGATTTGTATTTTATTGTATATAAAGACGACTTTGACATTCTATTCATTTAAGTAATTGAAAAACAAAGACGATAAGTTTTCATTTCAAAAAACCAGGTTGAATATGTAAATAAAAATAAATAATAAAAACAAAGATGGTTGATTGTTGAAATGTAAATAAAAATGTTACAACAATCTCTGTATGTTCCAACAACTTACGGCCACAAGAAACTGATGATGTTTTGTTTTTGTGGGTATTAATTTGTATATAATTATCAATGAGCCAAAAAAATAAACAAGAAAGTTACAGAGATATTTATAATTATTATCAAGTAAAGAAATTTGGTGTTGTTTATTTGCTATCGATAACATTGTATTATAATGTAGATAAAACATAATATGACACATGT